TTATTCACCTAATTCTGAAAGTTTTTCTTTAACTAGAACACTTGGAGTGATGGAGAAGTTAGGGTTTTCTTGTCTCTTTTTCATGCCTTTTCTCCTTCAATTCCTGTTATTTTTCTTTTATTGTCTGGGTAGGAATAGATAAAAGGAAGAACATTAAGAAATGAAAAACGTCTCTATGACTTTTCCAGTTTTAATTTGGTCCAAAAGTTCCTTGGATGTTGCTGACTCTTTTATGCCATGTCTTATTTGAAGGCTTATCTGACTTATCTCTGCAATTTCCCTGAATTCCAGTTTCCTTGGTCTACATAATGACTCATCATTTCCACCACTTACAACTATCAGGCCCTTACTTGCCATCATCCCTTCCATTGGCTGGGAACTGAGATAGAGCCTCAGGAATTAGAAGATGGTCAGGCCGGGTGCGGTGGCTCAAGCCTGTAATCCCAGCACTTTGGGAGGCCGAGGTGAGTGGATCATGAGGTCAAGTGATTGAGACCATCCTGGTCAACATGGTGAAACCCCGTCTCTACTAAATATACAAAAAATTAGCTGGGCATGGTGGCGCGTGCCTGTAATCCCAGTTACTCAGGAGGCTGAGGTAGGAGAATTGCTTGAACCCAGAAGGCAGAGGTTGCGGTGAGCCGAGATCGCACCATTGCACTCCAGCCTGGGTAACAAGGGTGAAACTCCATCTCAAAAAAAAACAAAAAACAAAAAACAAAACAAAAAAAAAGAAGGATGGTTGATAATCCATGGCAAACAGTAACTTTTTACAAAATTAGTGATGAAAAAGACTGAGTATTCATTACCTTTTGCTACACCTAGTCCTCTGGATTGCCCCTTTTGGTGGGCTCAAGACTGCCCTTTCTACCTCCTTTCTGCAGGGTCCATATTTGATCTGACTGGACATGCTTTTGTCAGACTCTATTACTACATGATATTCTCAATGTAGCCTGTCTCCTCTATGCTGCTGATAGTGAGGATTTCTCAGAGCAGGTGTCTGGTTTTCTGTTCTTGTGTCAGTTTGCTGAGAATGATGGTTTCCAGACTCATCCATGTCCCTATGAAAGACACGAACTCATACACCACATGTTATCACTCATAGGCGGGTGTTGAACAAATAGAACACATGGACACAGGGAGAGGAGCATCAAACACTGCGGTCAATTGGGGGGGCTAGGGGAGGGACAGCAGGGGATGGGGAAGGTAGGGAGAGATAACGAGGGAAGAAATACCAGATAGAGGAGATGGGGGGATGAAGGCAGCAAATCACCTTGCCATGTATGTACTTGTGCACATGTACCCCAGAACCTAAAGTACAATTAAACAAACAAACAAAAAAAGCAGTTGTCAAATGCTGTTTTCTATATTTTTCATCCTCTTGGAAGTACACATCAAGTTCTCTAAATGGTCACTGGGCCTGATTAAGGTAAGCACCTTTCGTTTGATTATTCACTTTGGTATTGAATGATAAGCCACAGCACTGTAGCAAGGAACTTCAAGGTAATCTTGTTATAAGTCATTTTATTTTTTTGCCCTTGAATGCAAATGGATGTTTTTTTTTATTAATTACTTTACTTCTTAATCCTACACTGAGATGACCTTGTTGAAACACATCATTCTGTGCTTGGGACCAGAAAGGAGACTATTTTGTATTTTTAGTAGCACTGAGGTAGAATTTCATCATGAACTGCCACTGACGTCTTAGAAGGGCAATGTCCCTCTTTTTGGGTTTTAGCTAAATAGAGCTTGATATAGTTTGGATGTCTGTCTTCTCCAAATCTCAGGTTGAAAGTTTGTTCTCAATGTTGCTGTAGGGCCTAATGCGAGGTGTTTGCACCATGAGGCACTTGCCTCATGAATGGTTTGGGGCCATTTTCACCAGTTGGGGTGATTTGTCATCTTAGTTCCTGAAAGAACTGGCTATTAAAGAGAGTTTGGCACCTCCCATCTCTTTCTCTTCTTCCTTCGTCTTGCCATGTGATGTCTGATTTCCTTCCCCTTCCACCTTAGGTGAATGCTTTCTGAGGTCTTTGATAGAAGCAGATGCTGCATCCATGTTTCTCATACCTCCTGCAGAATTGTGAACCAAATAAACTTCGTTGTTTTTTTTTTAAATAAATTACCCAGCCTCGGGTATTCCTTTAAAGCAACACAAATGAGAACTGAGATAGGGCCTCATGAATTAGAGCGACAGTCAATGATCCATGGCAAACAGTAACCTTTTACAAAATTAGTGATGAAAAAGACTGAGTATATGTTAGGTTTTGCTACATAACAAAATCCCTTTAAAAGTTACAGTTGAACAAAACAATCACTTATTTGGTTCATGGTTTGCCAGGTTGGCAATTTGGACTAGGCTTGACTAGGTGGTCCACCTCATCTCTGTTGGATTCACTCATGTAGCTGTGAATAGCTATCAGTTTTGCTAGAGCATTGCTGGTGGGATGACTCATCTCTACTCCACGTGACCTTGCATCCTTTAGCTCACTAGACTCAAATTTTTCACATGGTAAGTAACAAGCATCGAAGAGAAACAATAAAGAAAATAGATGTATGCACATTCCTAGAAGGAAGATTCAAAGCTGGCATATTGCATTTTCTTGACAAAGCAAGTGGCAAGATTGACTTGGGATTTAGGAGTATGGAAATAGATTTTCCTTTGTGAAAGGACATGGATATAAGAAGGGAAATGATTGCAGCCATTCTGTAAGCAGTCTATTAGACTATCACAGACTGTCCAAGATATCTTTCCATGTCCTGTCTTGATTTTCAAACTTCTCTTTATCACTGAATGTGAAATCTACCAGCTGGAAATTATAAATGGATGAGTAATGTTTTCACATATAAGATGTAAAATTTATTCAGATTATTTTGGGGCCCAGTTAACAAAATAGAGAGGTAAAGGCCAACAGTCTCTGATATTTTGTGGCTGTGCTCTATGTGCGTTCAGTTTTGAAAGAATAAAATTTTGAATTTGGTTTATAGTTACTATAGGTCTCTTTTCACATCTCTGTCTAAAATTGTATAATTTTCCTTTAATCCTCAAATTATGAGAATTGGTTTCATAAGCCCTGCCCTGAGAAAACATTCAACATATTGTAACTAACATATAAGAGTTAAAAATCTATCTATGGAGTTTAGCAACTGAAATGTGATTTTCCTGGAGCCTAACTGTGTTTGTTGTTCCTTATACTTTAGATTGAAAAATCCCAGACTACATGATCTTACACTCACCTTCTCCTGATTTCCTTTTTGATCAAGAAGGTTAGCATATGCACTTTACATATCCTGAACTCTACTACAATAATCCATTACCAATAAACCACTCAATATTACTGTAGTATAGTTATTGCAGGTTTAATTGGCAGAAGATTATAAACATGATTCATGAACTATTTATAAAGCATGCCTATTTGGAGGGAGAAATCTAAATGCAGGTAATACAAAACTACGTATGAGTTTCATATAATGCAGTTCAATATTTGTGGAGTCTCTATTTTAAGCATACAATGGTTAACATTACTTTTTACTGTATCACATATCTGGCACTTGCATTATATTATAAAAGTCTCTTTAGAATTCAAATTGTGATAAAATATTAACGAGTAATATAGAATTTGTCAGTATATTGATATTATTTTTCCTATTGAATTAGCAAAACTTTTAAAAGGGAGGTAGCTTACAGAACATCATGCTATACTTTAAAAGGAAGAGGACTATATTGTCAGAATATAGAAATATGGATCAAATGCCTAAGAGAGCCCCTGTTATTTTGTTTGAATTGAGAGTTCACAAACTATCTTTTCTATTGGGTCATGAATATACTGAGAAGTAAGGTGAATGATTCATCAGAGAGGAGAAGGTATATTGCCTTTACTGCTTTCAAAGGCTAGAATGAAAATATATCTTATATTTCCAGGCAATTAGACCTGCTAAGATTGAGGTCTAGAATTAGATACTCTTATCAAACCAACCATAGGAATAGCTAGAGCTTTTTTATGTAAGACTGGAGGAAAAGGCAAGAATTTATAGCAACCCATCACATCAAAGTTAACTCAACTATGAGACATGGTCAAGCAGGGCCAAGCACGAACACTTAGTTCACAACTCCAGCTCTGCTTGAATCAAGCCATAACAGGATGAGATGTCTCTGTAGTAGAAACTAGGTAAGAACAAAGCTGTCTGGTGAAAAGCCAGATAATTACATCTATAGTCTTGCAGAAGAGACTCTAGTGCAAGCAAAGCCAACAGGGACAGGCAGCTGAATGAAGAATCATGGGGAAAGTGCGACTCTCTGAGAGGCTACACATGTTTATTCAAGAGTATGGACATAAAATATACAGGACATGTTCACATGATCCAATTGCCTTGTACTTTATAATAGACTGAATAACTATTTTCAACCCCTCCAAGATGCAGGTGAGCAGCTTGGAATGAAAAAAAAAAATAGAGAGCCAAAATAAACAAAACAACGCTCATTTAGAACAATAGTAAATTTGAAATATGAGTTAAAATTTTAAACTACATTATGTTAAGTTTGTGTAAATAGAGCCTGGTTAGAAACCAGGAGTCCTGCTTTTAAAATTTGGTATATCTACCAAGTAGTTGTGTGATCTTGGGAAATAACCTTAGCCATTCATTCCGAAGTTTGTTCCTCTCTTTTTTTATTAAATTAAAGGGTTGTCACAAACGACCTTTAAAAATGTATTCTCGCCTATGATCCTAGATATTCTTCTAAACATATCTCTAATGTGAACTAATGCCATAATAGTAAACATTAGCACATTTCTATTCACATTAATACCTCTGTTTATTAAATTTGACCTCTCTATATATCTAGTTTATAGTGGCCCATTTTCAAATAAATGAATGTCATTTCTAAATAGGTGACAAATATGTATTTCTGCAATGCATTTTCTCTTGGGAAGATCTCTTTAAAATGGTAAAAGAAAGCATGCCAAAAATATAAACCAAAAGAACCTATTCTTATTTCTCACAAAATTATTTTCATTCAATCACTTATAAATTAACTTGTGCTTCTGGTCATGCTTGTACCTCTAATCATAATCATACTACTCTCTTAAATGTCCTTGAACTTAATAGAACCAAATCACCAAAAAAAAAAAAAAACTTCTATTAGGAAGCAAAAAGGGGACAGAAATAGTACCAGCTATGAAGTTAAAGATCATTTAGATGCTATTGATTTGTTTTTGGTGTTTCTTTGATAATTTTAGTATTCTTTGTTACTCTCTGCCTCAACCTCAAGCAACTATTTCAAATCTCAAACATTTTCTGACCACTGAGGTTTAAAACATTGCCTTCATGAATAAGTGTTGATTCATGGGTCCTGAATAACTTAGCACCATTTGTTACATGATGCTGTTGGAATCTAGGTGGCTGTCAAGAAATAATGCTTTCATCTTCTTCTCCCAGATGCCATGGAATTGAGCAGGTGTCTGAAGGTAGAATTCCTCACAAGTCCTGGAACTCAGAAATGTCACTGATTAGTGGTGAAAGAGAAAGATAATACACAAAGGTCTTTTAAACAACCCCTATCGGGTCTATAAAGACACTGTTTCATTCAAGAATTTCATCAAAAGGATGGCATATTCCCAATCATTTTTACAAATCTTACTGAATGAAAACAAACTCTTTGCTTTCAGTGAATATATGAATTTCAGTGAATATTTTTTTTGCCTTGCTTAAGATATCAAATGCATTATTCCATAATCCATTCACACACACATACAAAAATAATGATAATCATAAACAAGATTGCAAAACAAGTGAATTTTGAACAAGGGGTTTGCAAATCACAATTTTTCTACTTTAATGTATATTTGGAAATGTCTCAGCAACTCTGGCATTTATTCCTAAACAGCAGACCTCAAAATCTATATGTCTTATTTGGCATTGAGAAAGGGCACAATCACTATATGGTGAGACGTAGAAGGTTTCATTCGAGTACTTTTCCAAAGATTACTCTGTAGGATAATATTAAGATAGGATTTCTTTCTATACAGATGTTGCTTCTTATTCGTGTGCAAGGTGGGATATTTTCCCTTTTAGATACTGTGAGGCATTAATGTGACCATTCAAGGAACTGCGTTGTGCTCTTGATAGCCTCTTTAATTCTGGTTTTGGAGGAAACTTTGATTCCATCACAGAGAAATTCAATAGAATGTAGTTACAATTAGGACTATCAGCACTACAAAGGTTCACAGAATTCTCAGCATTCAATTAATCCAACAGTCACAACAACAAAATCCTTACAAGTCTATACAGGCATTTTTCTTTAAATGCATTAGATAATTGGGTTGCATTGTTTAGATAAAGGAATCATTTAATTATAATTATGCCTAAGCACATTTACTAAGTTATTGCCACTATGAGTATAGATACATTGAAGAGATAAGAAGTTTGCCATCTAGGAGTTCACTGACATACTAAGAAAAAAAAAAAAATCCTAATTTATGTATTGTTAATTCCAGGTAGCTAGAGATAAGATTCTTAATTAAATAAAACCTTTCTTTTCAACTATAATAGTCTGACTATTTTTTAATGACAGCTTTTATATCTCACCCCCTTTTCCCCTGTCCCTCATATCTGGGCTAGCTAAGATTAAAGCCTAGGTGCTACCTTATTTGATCCCCATGAAAAATTAAAACTCATGCAAGCTTCTGCCTACATGTGAGGACCATGACCCTGGCCCTACCCTGAAATCACAGTGAAACCCAGAGTCAGTCTCCTTTCCTGGTTCTCCCTAGCCATTACAAGACGAGAGGCTTACCCAGCTGTTCTCAGGGACCTCAAAAAGTAAACAATAAACATTTTTAGAGCCCCTCTGCTGTGTGTGACAACATGGTTCTCAACATTCAAACCAAACTTTGAGTGAAGGTCTACTCTGCCTTTGGGAGAGAAATACAACATCCACTCAGGTTTGAAACCAGTTGAAATGTCACAGGAGTCAGACTCGTGGAAATTAAAATAACAGCTATTCTACAGATAAAATGCTGAGATGAAGCACATTTATAGACATGACTGTATGAAGTAGTTTCTCACCCTCTATCCCAGGTGACAATCAAAGTAGTCTGAGTTATGCTAGAATAACAAATATTCCTAAAACATATACGTGACAGTTAATTCCCCCTAATTACAAGTACAGCTGGAAAATCACAGGTTTCTGTCATAGCTGTATTATCACCTTATAAAGAGCAGAGTGGAATATGGGTGGGGGGAAGAGAGAGAGAGAGAGGGAGAGAAAGAGAGAACTGGGGTAAGAGAGAGGAGGGGCTACATAAAAGAGAAGACTTATAAACCTACCTATCCTCTTATAAACCTACCAGTCCTAGCTTGGTGCATTGGTGCCACTTGTAGATCCAACTACTCAGAAAGCAGAGATTTCCTGAGCCCAAGAGTTCAAGTGTGCGGTGATCTGTGATCACATCACTGCAACCCAGGCTGGGCAACAGAGCAAGACCATATTTTAAAACCTACCAATCCTCCTGTAAGGAGGATTAGGAGAACTGAGTGGTATGAGAGCAAAAGTTTCACCAGTAGGAATGTCAGCAACCACTCAGACCAAATCCAGCTGCAATCTTCTTTTGTAAATAAAGTTTTATTAAAATGTAGTCATGCCTGATCCTTTATAAATCATAGCTGTTTTCATGCAACAACAGCAGAATTTAGTAGTCCTGAGAGACTCTGGGCCTGCAAAGTCAACAATGTTTAACCTCTGACCTTTTACAGGAAACATTTACTGACCCTCGTTCTAGATATCTATCTATAAGGACATTCAAGGACAGATAATTTAAGACAAGCAGTAATATCAAAATATGAAAACAAAAAGAAAACAGAAAAATGGTATTTCTCTTATTATTATAACCTGAGTAAAACTTTGGCCAAGATGAGTCAGGGAAGGAAGTTATGGGCAAATCATGGACCTACAGCTTGAACAAGAGAAGAGAAGGGCCAGCCTTCTGGAAGAAACCCTGATTACCTCAGTCTGGCAGAGGGAAAGCACAGAGGAAGCAAAAGTGGGAAGCTAGAAATTGAAACCATCTAACCAAAATTGCTAATGAAAATATTGGGTACTGAACTTGAAACCATCTAACCAAAGTTGCTGAACTTGAAACCATCTAACCACCGTTGCTAATGAAAATATTGGGCATCTTTGCCCTGGAAGGAAAACTAAAGGGAAATGACCTAAGACATGTTTTTTTTTCCCGAATAAAATTTGAAAAGCAGATAAAGAGAAGTATGATATCCTTAAACTGCTTATCTTAAGCGGTTCTTGGGTTTTGGAATTCGTGAATCATTAATGAGAGATGAAATGGGAGACTGAAAATTTGTCGCCAGCATTAACTTTTGCCAAGTGATTACATATATAGTCATATATAATGTGTGTGTACATAAATATACATACATTTATATATATATGTGTGTATCTATATTTATATATGTGTGTGGGCATATATAATTTGTAACATAATGCCAGATTATGAGATTTATATGTGTATGTGTATATAATATATATATTTCATATATATTTATGTATATATAAATTTCATATGAATATATATGAAAAATATATATTACATACATATGTTTCATATATAATATATATGTATATTATATTATATGGGATTACAGGCTTGAGCCACCACGCCCGGCCTAATCTTACTCTTTGAAAAAAAGACCAGATTATTTAAAAAGTGCTGTCTTATCTTAGGATAGTCTCCCTAACACAGGACGATTCAATAAAAGGCTGTGTAATGAAGCCTGACATGCCCAGAGGATTGGGAGAGAATAGCAGCGTTCAGTAGCTGCCTTTCCGGTGTCAGACACAGTACTAGGTCCTGCATATTTATAGTCTCCATCAATTCTAAGAGAAGCTGATAAATTTGCCCAAGGTCATACAGCATGTAAATGGAAGACATGAAATTAAAACCTAGGCCCACTTGTGTCTCACCATTTTTCTTCATGTGTCTCATCCAAATATGGCTGGGAAATTGGACAGAGTCCACGCAAATATCTCTACCAGTGTGAAAGTTCTTGCTCATCCACGCTGTGGCAATCAAAGAGAAGAGAGATATGGCTGTATTCAAAAGACAACTGAGCCAAACCCACTCTAACCAGGGAATATGCCACAGAGGTCCACCTAACACATGTTTAATATTGTATAGCTAATTCAAGACATCTATGAATCCAAGTCATTGCATAATCCAGGGCGGCAATGAAAGAATTGCATAGTATAACAATCAGGCCAGCTAGGAAGGCAACCAGAAGATGGACTGGATGGACTGGAAGTATTATGGGAAGATTCCTGTAAGAGACATGGCAGGATTCATGAAGTATGGGAACAATTTGGTCAAGAGGACACAAACCTGAAAGGAATTACACTTTCTCCTCTCTAGTCCCTATTCACATTACAACACAGCTCACATGTAGCTTTCCTCCTGAACATGTCTCCTATCTCATTCTTTCTCTTTCAGAATTACAGGTCTTCCACTTTGCAACTACTATAGTTGCTACTTGCGGACACCTATGTCTTAGCTGTCATCTATTACATTTCTATGTCTTCCACTTATATTCGTCATTGTTACTTCCCTGAGGAAAATGTCATAGCAGTTACAGGAATGTGTTTGTGTATGTGTATGTGTACATCCATCCTGCAATAAATAACAAAGGACCAACTTACGATGGGAGTTTAACACAGTTTTCATGCCTTGAACAAAGGAAAAACATCAACAAAGAAATTAAGGTCTTCTGTGTTTGACCAGACTAGATAATAGGATGAAAAGAAAGAATTTGTTGAACATAGTATTGAACCAAATACTGTGCCTGGCAATTCCATACCTAAGAGGTCACAGTCTCCACTCAAACATTTTACAGATGAGAAAATCAAGATCCACAGAGTATAGGTTGACTGCTCAAGTTAGGACAACTGGCAAACAGCAAGACAAATAATTTCATTCAGGTTTTGTGAATATCAGGTCCTTTCAGTTTTATCACCCTGTGGGTCTGCGGATGGCATGGTTGGTCTGTGGAACAGAAGAAATTAGTTTAAATGTGGTATTTGAGCCCATCTTGAAGTTGTCCTGCTCCCTCCTTAAATCATTTTGATCCTTTTATTTCTCAGTGGACTCGGGGTCAGCAGGTACTTTTTGTCTCTGTGCAAGATTATGCCACCCCACCAATCTTCCTGCTGCTTTTCTCTTGGCAAGGGCCCTCTTTTCTCTATACATTGCTAATGCCCCTGGAGTCGTGCTGTAGATGACCCACGGAGCTGAAATGCAATCATTCCCTGTCCTTAAGGGCTCTTAACTCTATGCTCTTCATTCATATTCTTCCAAGTCACAGCCTCTGTTTTTGCGGAATGAAATTTTCAGGCTACTTTACAAATGTCAGTCCCATTCCATTTTCTTATCAGTTTAATACAAAGACAACAGAACCAGAATCTGCCACTCAGATTGCATTTTGTTTCTACTGAGGGCACAGCTTTGAAATAAGCAAAATAAAATTTTCTTTCCCATTTAAAAAGTAAACTTGGGGAATAAAATAGAATGAGGATTAAAGGAATTATTTTTAGTGACTATTGTATCCTACAAATTCTTTTCAAAATGAAAAGAAAAAGGAGCAAATCATAAAAAACTACTCACACATATTGAAAATATAATTGCAAATATAAACAAGTATAATCAGGAATATACATATATTATGTACATATCTTACAGACATTATGTACACATCACACATTTTATATATGACTTCCTGATTGTGCAGCTTGTACATATATATGTTTATATATGTTTTATATATATATTTACATCTATAATCCTACTAATTAGAACAGCTTCCCAAGAGTAGTCTGCAGATCACCTGCATCTCAAGCCCCTGAGAGACTTGTTTAAAAATGTAGGTCGGGCCGGGCACTGTGGCTCACACCTGTAATCCCAGCACTCTGGGAGACTGACACAGGCAGATCATGAGGTCAGTACTTTGAGAGAAACCTGACCAACATGGTGAAACCCCGTCTCTACTAAAAATACAAAAAATTAGCTGGGTATGGTAGCGAGAGTCTGTAATCTCAGCTACTCTGGAGGCTGAGGCAGGAGAATAGCTTGCACCCAGGAGGCAGAAGTTGTGGTGAGCGGAGATCATGCCATTGTACTCCAGCCTAGGCGATAGAGCAAACTCTGTCTCAAAATAAATAAATAAATAAATATAAATAAATAAATAAATAAAATGTTGATTGTTCCTGAGCCTTTCTTCAGATTCACTGAATCAGAGATTTTAGGTCTCTAGACCAGAAGTCTACATTTAGACAACCTCCTTAGCTGCACCAAGTTTAAGAATGCGTAATGTAAAAATATCCACTTAAAAATATATTTTGGAGCATTTGTCTCTGAGTTGTTTTATGCCTGCTTTTTCAACTAGATCCTGTGTGTATCACTTAACATTGCATTAAAAAATATCACACAACTTGGGCACATCTTTGTAAACTTCGTTTTTAATGGCTGCATAATACAACCTGTAAAGATACTCTAATTTACTTAGTTGTCATCTTTTTCAACACTTAGATTACTTCTAGATTTTTGCTTTATACAAAAATATTGGTATGAATTTCTTCAAACATACAATTTTCTCCACTTGTATCTATTCATCTCTGTGACTATTGTACTGTACGCACTTTCCAGCACTGAATTATCACAATTTCTCTGATAATTTAACCTTGAGAGTCAAATTTCTATCATTTCTAACATCACATCCTTAACTGATTGCCCAGTGCTGAATATGATTATAATCATTATTTCCTATTTTATGCAGTATTTGTGAACTTTACTATTCGTGTTTGCTTTTTTTTCCACTGAAAAACTTATCTAAAAAGCTATTTATTAAGAATATTATGTCTTTAATGCAGCTGTTGCATACTTATTCGCTATTTTTTGTCTTTGAAGTTTATTCATTTTAGCTCTTGCAAAACGCATTCACTTCAGTTATTTTGTTCTTAACATTTTGCAACATTTCCTTTTGAAAAATATATGTTATTGTGTATATTAGAGGAATAAAGCATATTTATTACGTTTGTTCTTAATTCTCAATTAGATTCAAGCATTTAACAATTAGTAACTTACTTAATCTTCCAGACATTTTGTGCGTGATTTTTATGTTTTGTTGTATTCTTTGGGAGTTATTTTCATGCATATTTGGGGGAGATGACTAGCTCATCAGACCTATGGTGATGCGCTTGTGATCCCACGGGAAAAATATTGCTTTGATTATTGGTTACTGAGAACAACCTTTAACAAGCCACCTCCTAGAACCAGGGCCCCAGCATCTGGGCCAGGCTGATCCCAAAGGAGCAAGTAATGGGAACTCCTTCATGTGTATTAGCCAGACACATGGAAGAGGCAGAGTGAGAGATCCCCTGAGAGAAAAAACTCTGCATGGGCATTTAGATTCAGGGGAGGCATGCTACCATCTACCCCAGAAGGTCCCAGTCTTTGGAAAGACTAAAAGAAATTTTTGAGAGAGGTCCTGGAGGTCCACAGACGGCTTTGCTTCAAGATAGAACTGCAGAGGCAGAGAATCAGGCACAAGAGCAGTGATCAGTGGTGGTGTGCTTTACTAATGTGCTTTTTATTAAGTTTGTTTTAGTAGAAAATCATATCCTACAAAGAGTGTCTCTGGCTTCCTTGAATCAAATTTATTGGCCTTGAGCAAGAACCTCACTTTTATCAACAGGGATATTTTCACAAAGAAGATATTTATCAATAGTATGCATCATTCAAGCTGTGGTTGAAAAAGACTAAAGAAAGTTAATCGTAGATATTGTTCCAGTAGTATATAAAATTGTGCATGTAAGCATTGCTTCTCAAACATTTATCTTAGCCTAATTTTTCGTTCATAATAAGCACCTCAAATTATTTGACTTTCTCCCAGCCCCATTGGGCACACCACCCAAAATCCATCCTAACAAAATGACAATTGGTGCTCATTTCCCACCTGCTGTATAATAAACTTCATTTCTTTTCACCATGGATAAAATATTGAGTCTGTTGTAAAGTAAGTTAATCTATATAGGACAGGATAAATAATGTATTTCATTATTTAACTGAACTTTCTGAATCATGAAATACACAAATATTTCATGACCATTTTAAAGAGTGTTATATTAAAATATGTATATTTGCATACATAGATAAGAAAGAAATATGGAAATTAAAATGACTACCTTTGGGTAATGAAAATATGGGTAACTTCTTTCTTCTTCATTTTTTTCAATAATTTGATACCATTTATGACACTTTATCAAATGGAAAAGTTAAAAAAATGAAAATGTAAACCTGTTATAATGATATTTCGATGGTATTAACTTTTGCAAAAGTGAAAGAGGATTTTCTGTCTCTAACTTAATAAAATTCATAGCCAACTATCCCAGTAATTCTACGCTTTCTTTTTGCAAATTTCCTTGTTCCCATAATCTTCTGCGCCAACAGCAGACCTCCTCTTCTTTTTTCACAACAAGAGAAGCATTTTTTTTTTTTCCTGAGGTAAGCTGATAAAAAGACCATTTTGTACTTTAAGTTTTATTTCTATTTTCTCAATTTAATAGTTTCCTTTTCCATCACTCACAAAGCTTTTTTAAGTTAATGGCTGCTGCTAGATTGTACAATGACTACAGTTTGCCAGACTTTTGAAAGGGAGCCACATACAGGATTTATAATTAAGTGATGGCAGAGAGGTCCTCCCTCAGAAGGAATAAAAGCAAGTCTCAGCATGCAGCTGTGCAGTTGGGCAGAATAAAAGATTGATACTGCCAAGAGTAAAGGGTGTGAAATTAGGGACTCTCAAAATTCATTCTGTAAGCCCTCTGGAGCGATCTCCAGAGATTACTGAAGTTACAAGGTACTGGGTCCTTCAGACCTTCATCCTCATCTGTAAAATGGCATATGATTCCTTGCTCAGTCTAATCCACATGACTATTGTGAGAAGCTAAGAAGGTAAAACATTTAAAATAGCACTGAGATCACTTAAGGGCTTCAAAATGAAGGGCACAGATTTGTTCATTCTCTCTACCCCCAAAGAGCATAGCCAGTATACTGAAATGCACATTGGTGGAAAGTTAGGGATTCCTACGTCTACCCCTGCTCAACTGAAAGGAGATAATGAAAAAAACATCAATCTGTGCAACTAGCTTTTTGACTAGGAGATAAATTGTTGGAACCAGCTTTGTGGGGGCAGGTGAGCCAGCTGATGCTGTACCAAATCTAATTCATTATAGTGTTGATTTCTCTATCAACAAATAGAAAATGACATCTTGAAGCCCAGCTTTATGTCCCTAAGAAATATGTCTGTTTTACAATGTATAAACACCATAGAATACTTACTTAGTCTAAGCCAAGCTGTGCCAAAGTCAGCCTTTAAAAAGACGCTATTGTTGCTGGCAAAAGTATAGTTGTTGATGTTGGCAAAATTACAGCTATGTGAGAAAAATTGTCTGCTATAGAGACCTTGGGAAATTGTTAAATCCCAGTTTTCTTTTTGCATGTTTTAAATATTTAGCAATTGTATTGTTTTTCATATGTGAACAAAATTATTGGTTTCAATGAAGAAATCAGATATACGGTACTACTGGTCGGTATGTTTTGATTAACTGCTTTCCGGATAAATTAAATAACATTGGTAGTTATTAGCTTCATAAAGTTATCATACAATAGCCCAGCTATTCCTCTTCCTAAAGTCTTGTATAGAATTTTTGAAAAATAAAACGGACCCAGGCATATAATTTGAAAATTAAATGGTCAGAAATTACTGGCATGTTTGTCCTATACTAACACGACCTTATGATAGATGTGGGGTGGGGTGGGGTAGGGTGGAGTGAACGGCTATATTCTTTTTTTATCCACCATCCATTAAGAACCTCGGTTGTGTCAGATGTTGAGACTTGTTCTAGAATATTTGATAGGGGCTTGCACTATATCTAGAATTGCACTATACAGCATTCTTTCAGTTGCCATTTAAAAACTATTTATTAAACACACTACATTTATATACTTATTAGAAGAAATTTTGGCCAGGGGAGGCATTTATGTTGTCAGTTTCTTGAAGACAGAACTGTGATTGTTCCTCTTGCAATACCTGCAGCGAACAGCAAAAATCCTTTGTACATGATCAATATTTAGTGCTTATTAGTTTATTTAAATTAACAGAGAGGGTTTGATAAAACTTGGATGTTAGACAGGTTCTTTTTGTAAGGAATATTGTGTTTTTTTTAGAAAAAGGACAGCTGCAGTCTGTCATCTCTCTAAAAGTATGCCCATAGAAAACTACAATATCTTAACTCTAAAAGGAAAGAATGGGTGGAGTACAATGTATGAATCGAGAGGCAGGGAAGAAGAAAGAGCAGCTGACATTTGTTGAGTGCCTTGTACATCATGGACCCTGGATGATACTGAGATTAGTATCCATGTTTCTAGCCCTTGGCTGGTGCATTCTTTGGTCACACCAACCCCTCACTTTGGAAACATTATTTAGCACATATTTATATAAATGGCTTAGTATTATTGTGTCACATGCTCTGTGTGACCTGGCCCTTCATTATTTCTCTACCTTTATTCTCTATCACGTTTTGCTTATCTGACATAATTAAAATGTTTGTCCCCACCCAAATCTCATGTTGGATTGTAATCTCCCAGTGTTGGAGGTTCAGCTTGGTGGAAAGTATTTGAATCATGAGGGTGGAGTCTTCATGAATGGCTTGGGCCAACCACTTGGTGATAAGTGAGCTCTTACTCGGAGTTCACATGAAGTCTGGTTATGTAAAAGTGTGTGGCACCTGACCTCCACTTTCTCCCACTCTCACCATGTGAGATGCCCACCCCTATTCACCTTCCACCACGATTGTAAGCTCTCTAAGACCTCCCAGAAGCAGATGCTAGAGCTACCCTTCCTGTACAGCCTGCAGAACTGTGAGCCACTTTAACCTCTTTTCTTATAAATTACCCAGTCTCGGGTATTTATTTACAGTAATGTAAGAACAGCCTAACATACCATCTCAGCTTAATTGGCCACCCAGGTCATTTTGGCCACTTTCTCAAATATGCCAAGTTGTTGTCCATGCCAGGACATTGTACATGCTATTTCCTTTTCTTGGAACATAAATACACAGCTCTTTGAATAGCTGCTTTCTAATGTTTAGATTTCAACTAAACTGTAATTATTTCACATCAAAGCGATCTTTCATTACTATTGTAAATAATTGCCCATTCTTTTATCTCAGTCACAAATTTCATGCCTGCATCAAACTTACCGAGCAAAAATGTTTTTCTTGTCTGTCACATTGTTTTTGACTGATATCCGCTTGGGCAACACTCATGCCTCAGAATGCAAGCACCAGAAGTATAGAAGATACAGAAGACCTGATGGCACATGTATTCCAGGGGCAGAACCTGGCATATAATGGAGGTCAAAGCATATTTCATTATCATTACTAGCGTTATTATTTGAAACAGGGTCTCATGCTGTCACCCAGGCTAGAGTGCAGTGACATAATTATGGCTCACTGCAGTCTTGACTTCTGGGGCTTAACTCATCCTCATACCTCAGCCTCCCCAGTAGCTGGGACTACAGGTGCATATCACCATGCCTGGCTAATTTTTGTACTGTTAGTAGAGACAGGGTTTTGCCATGTTGCCCAGGCTGACCTGGAACTCCTGGGCTCCAGTAATCCACTTGCTTTGGCCTCTCAAAGTGTTGAGATTACAGGCATGAGCCACCATGCCTGGTCATATAATTCATTAGTAAATAGAAGACTGAATGAATGAATGTTAGATGCTTCAGGCATCTGACATTTAATCTGTTGGAGAGTAAATTGTTAGAAAAAGAGGCACAATGAGCTATTGCCCTGAGAGGTATAAGCCAAAGGGTTTGGGGTAGCCTGACATAGGGGCCTTGAACCCAGAACTGGGAAGCCGGAGATTAAGGCTTAAGGCTCACTTCAAGAATCCGAGTTAGACCTGAGTTTTCAAGAAGCCAAGGCATAATGAATAATGATAAATTTCACAGTTGAATGTTAAAATATTGTTAAACTGAATAGTGCCCTAGACCTGGCCCAATTTTCCTTTCTAGGCCTCCAGGTCTGTGATGGGAGGGGCTGCCATGAAGACCTCTGACATGTCCTAGAGACACTTTCCCCTTTGTCTTGGTGATTAGCATCTGGCTCCTCATTACTCATGCAAATTCTGCTGCTGGCTTCAATCTCTCCCCAGAAAATGGGGTTTTCTTTTCTACTGAATTGTCAGGTTGCAAGTTTTTCAAACTTTTATGCTCTGCTTCTTCTAAAACACTTTGCCACCTAGGAATTTCTTTCACCAGATATCCTAAATCATCTTTTTCAACGTCTAAGCTCCACAGATCTCTAGGACAGGGGCAATATGCTAAAGCATAGCGAGAGTCACCTTTATTTCAGTTCCCCTCATCACCATCTGAAACCACCTCAACCTGGACTTTATTGTCCACAACACTATGAGCATTTTGGTTAAATCCATTCAACAAGTCTCTAGGAAGTTCTAAACTTTCCAACATCTTTCTGTCTTCTGAGCCCTCCAAGTCTCTAGGAAGTTCCAGACTTTCTTACATTTTCCTGTCTTCTGAGCCCTCCAAGCTGCTCCAACTGTGGCAGACCAGCTCTCACTAATAATTGTTTCAGTGATGACTGAATGCTTCAGTTACATGTTAAAAGCCAGTGTCTTTATACAAAGGATGGCATGTAAAAAGCCATGAAGAAGTTTTGCCTAGGCCTTTCCTGGGCCTTAAAGCATGACAAAATTATGAAGGAATTCTTAACAGGACTGATCCATTTAGGATTAAGCAAGTTTTATTGTGGGTCTGAAGAAATTCCCCAGGCCACCAGAAACAAGTTTATGGGGGGTCTGGAGGAATTCCTCAAATATCTGTAATTTAGCAGGAGACAACATAAGGGTAATCACCCCAGCACCTGGACCCATTTAGATTAAATTTACTGAGACTCCAGAGAAAAGTCTTCAGGAGTCAGACCTTAATTATAGATTAAAAGAAGTTAACCACTTAGGTATTTAGATAAATGCACACTTAAATGGAGACATACTTAGAAGGTATATAAGCTCTAGAAAACTTTGTAATTTTAAAATGGTCTGGCAATAATCTCCAGCCCTTTTCCCTGTAACCAGTTACAGAAATAAAAACTCTCTTCCTCCCCAGTCCATCTGTATCTCATTATTGGGCCACAAGAAATAGCAACTCGACCCTCAGTTTGGTCCAGGAACACAACCTCTGCCTATTACCCAGTTCCAATGTTGCTTCCCCATTTTCAGGTATCTTTACAGAGCGTCCCTATACCCAGTATCAATTTACTGTATTAGTCTGTTCTTATTCTGCTAATAAGGAACTACCTGAGACAGGATAATTTATAAAGGAAATAGGTTTAGTTGACTCACAGGTCTGAATGGCTAGGGAGGCCTCAAGAAACTTACAATTATGGCAGAAGGGGAAGCAAACACATCCTTCTTCACATGGCAACAGGGAGAAATGCCAAGCAAAAGGGAAAAACCCTGTAAAACTATCATAACTTGTGAGAACTCATTCACTATCACAAGAATGATATGAGGATAACTGCCCCTTGATTAAATTACTCCCACAGCCTCCTTCCCATGACATAAGGGATTATAGGAACTACAATTCAAGTTAAGATTTGGGTGGGGACACAGTCAAACCCTGTCAACCTTCTTCACAGAATGACGCATGTTATAAGCCATGTAATAAGCACATAGCATGTACTCAAGAATTGTGCTATTAATACTGGTAAAGCACATGAAAACTATTGCTTATAGTCTTAAATGATTATGAATGTACCTTTGCCTTTCATTTTAGTTGTGGATTAATAACTTCCTAACCCATAACTAAAATGGATGCATACTATGATGTCATTTGACAATTTTATAAAATCAGGTTACACTCATTTTCTAGCATAAAAGTCTCAATACTAGAGTGGGCTTCCATGGAATGAGGCACAGTTAACATGCAGTTACAGCCATTCTCCTGGTTTTTGTGAAAGATTGTTAGAGCCAAGGCTTTGGGGTAAAACATTTACTGAAAATTAAGAATTGAGCAAAACCTTGAAAAGAATCTATCAGAATATTAGGATTCACATTATGTCAAGGATTTCCACAGCTCTTTCTTTATTAGTAGGAAACATGCGTCCTCCTTTTCCATCTCACAGTTAACTGTTATTTTATTCTCTAGGGTTTGGTAAAAATGCTATGCTTTTTCTGAAATTTCCCCAGGCCTTTTCAACAATGGTCAGTCATGTTCAGTTAATGGCTCATGCCTCACAATCTCACTCTACGTTTCATTGAGTGACTGATTTCACACTCTCAAACTAGGCTGCAGGCTCCTTCAGAGTAGGTTATTTTTTTTTTCTGTATGCATATACCTGTGCTAATAAACATGTGTGGGGATGTTTGCAGATAAAAGGTCACTGTAGTTGGTATAGTGAGTAACAAAGAAAATGTGGGAAGAGGTCAGAAGATAAGTTGTGGTGCAAATGTTGGCCAGAGTGAACAGGGTTAAAGCCCTTAAAGTTTTCTAAACAGAGGAGTAGAGCAAGGAGAAGGGCTATTTGGACCTCTGTAGTTAGTTGAAGGGTGTTCCCAAAGATATGTCCACATCAAATCCCTGATGCCTCCACATATTATAGTCATGTCACTTAATGAAGGGGATACATAAAGCTCAAAAAATTGGACTGAGTGAATCAGGTCAGTGAGTTTATAAGAGATCTCTGCAACACCTCCTGTCATACGGCATTTCCATCTTTATGTACCCACAGGGTTCAGCTAGATGTTGTGAATTTAGTATGTGCTTATAAATACTTAGGAAATTCAACTGATTTTAAATTGTGCTGATCCTCCCAACCCAGGTATTTTGATGTCCTTTACATTCATATTTATTTATATATTCTGATGTTTGCTCAAAAATGCTTTCCAGTCTTACCACATCCATGCAAATTTATTAAAAATAGGGACTCTCAATCAACAGATCTCCAGCCACAGTTGACATTTATGTCGTCACGATATTTGTCTTAACCCTTTAGGTTATGATAGACATTTCAGGTTTTTTAAAAAAATTAAATAAACTCATTTATATAAAATTAAGATGTAATCTGTATTTGATAATAAGTTCTTATAGTTGTAAAGTCTGCTGTTTTTGGCCACTATTCTCATTTTTGATGCTATACCATTAAATTTCAGAGTCCTGAACAAAGGATTAAGGAATAGAAAAAAAAAAGCCTAAAGTTATAGCAAGGTAGAGAGAGTACATTTAAAAATGACAAATTAGAAATTGGTAGAGGAAAACAAGACAAAAGTTGAGATTCTACCTATAGTAAGAGTTGTAGAGAAATTAAGAAAAGAAAAAACTTTAAATCTCAAAAATTAAAACTTCAAAGCTAAAAAGCACCTTTGAAAATCAATGTGCTAACTCATGAATTAATGAGAATACAATATTCTTTACTAACAATAATTTTAAATAGCTAAATGTCTGTAATTGTGTTTTAATAACAAAAAGGACCCAGTGAATTTAAGTAACATTGAAGGCATACCACTATTCATCACTTATTCATTTATCAACAAATTATTGAACGTCTACCATATACTAAACATTATTAATTATTCAAGGATAATTTTGTTTTGTTTTCTTGCTATTGTTGTCTAGAGAAGGTGTGCCTGTGCTGGAAGTGGAATTTAATACAGAGATCAACACTGGAAACAGAGCAAAGCGTGCCAGCATGATTATGGATCACTAGCCCCATTCTTCACTCTTCCCTGCATCACTCTATTGCTGTGGCTTCACCCTCGGTGTAGAGTATCCCCACCTCTTGACTCTGGACATGGCCATGTGACTTCCTTTTTTATATAGCACAAGGGTGGTTGTGACAGTGTGCCAAGTCTGAGTCTAGGTCTTAAGAAGCCTCGTGTGTTTTCATTCTCTCTCCCTTGTGCTTCTGCTACTGCTTGGAAAAGATGTTTCTCTGCCATTTCTGTCCCTTCATCCTGGACCCCAAGATAAGTCTACTTGGGGGTAAAGTCACCTCATTCAGGCATAGCCAAACCTGCAGGTTGAGGCAAAGTCACTCAGCTGAGGCCAGCCTAGATCATCCAATACTCATCTGAGATTCAGATGCATGTGAATAAGTGATTGCTATTTTTGGCCACTGAGTGCATGAGTTTTGTGATTCAGTGTTTCATTGGACATCTCTCAGTCTAATACTTTTGACCTCTTCTCATTGTATTACTTCTTCCTCCCTATTAGTGAGGAACTTCCTGATTGGTGAGTTTGGAAGAAGATATTGGAGATGCATAGTCAAGCCTTTCCTTCTTCCATTATGCTTGGATACAAGATACCTGCAGGACTATATATTCTCCTCTACTTCTTGTTGTCATAAGTTTTACAGAATGGAACACACACACACACACACACACAAACACACACAAACACACACACAAAACATGTGCAGAGAGACCTGTTCCAGGTAGGGGTGGTCACACCTTAAATTTAAGCATCACCATTACAAAACCCAGAGGAACGCAAATATAAGCCACTTTCACTAACATCAGTTTTCTCAGTAATAAAGTCAGCATTTTAGTCTCATCTGCTTTACTTATTTTTTTATCTTATTTCTCTGTTTGTTCAGAACTAAGTAAATGAAAGGATGACAAATCATTGAGCCTCTTCAAACCCCAACTTCAGGAGCATGGGCTAGATGGATTGGGCCAGATGGTTCCATGCAGTAAGCTGTAAAATAAAACTAAAAGGGTAAAGGCTCTTTCTCTAAGATATTGGTGATGGCAGAGAAGGATCTGAAGTCTAGGCATTGGCCTTGTTCCACTGGGTGAATTCATCTGGGGATGTCGAGAATTAGACTATAACTAATTAATTAATTAATTCAGCTATGTGTGTCTGCATTTTTGCATGTGTGTATGTAATATACTTAACAAATACGCATAAAGAACTTAGGTGCATTACATAAATGAACTCATTTAATCTTTATAACAATGCTATATCATAATGCTCATCATATTCTATTCAAGCTACTATAACAAATTACTATAGACTGGGTGGCTTATAAACAATAGAAATAGATTTGACAGGTGGAGGCTGGTAAGCCCAAGATCATTGCATTAGCAGATTTTGGGATCTGGTAAGAGCCTGCTTCCTGTTTCCTAGATGGCTATCTTCTTGCTATGTCCTCACATGGTAGAAGGGGGAACTGTGGTCTCTTCAGTCCCTTATGAGGGTAGCAATATATCAAGAATCTACTGTCACGACCTCATCGCCTCTCAAAGACCTTATTTCCTAATACCAACTCATGGAGATTAGGTTTTATAATATAGTTTTGTGGAGACACCATCAGTCATTGTATAGCAATTTTTTTTTTTTTTTTTTTTTTTTTTTTGAGACGGAGTTTCACTCTTGTTACCCAGGCTGGAGTGCAATGGCACGATCTCGGCTCACCACAACCTCCGCCTCCTGGGTTCAGGCAATTCTCCTGCCTCAGCCTCCTGAGTAGCTGGGATTACAGGCACGCGCCACCATGCCCAGCTAATTTTTTGTATCTTTAGTAGAGACGGGGTTTCACCATGTTGACCAGGATGGTCTCGATATCTTGACCTCGTGATCCACCCGCCTCGGCCTCCCAAAGTGCTGGGATTACAGGCTTGAGCCACCGCGCCCGGCCGATAGCAATGTTATCATACAATAGACTACTACTATATTAGAGTGTTACCCTTATTATAGTGTAGTTTTAAGTGCAGAGAAAGGAGGGAAGTTGCCTGATGTCAAATACCTGGTAAATTGCAGAGCAAGAATTCCAACCCTGGCATTCTGTCTACAATATTAATGTCCTTAACATTAATCTTTTTTGGAGGTCAGCATATCTTATATTGGTCCTATTGTGTGGGTATGACATTTTAAGCCTCATGATTCATACAGGCTCATGCTAAAACAAGTTCCACTGGATTTTATCCACTGCTTTGTGAGCATCTGGCTTAGACCTTAGAGCACATGAGACACAGAACTTAATTGATCTCTGTAATTTAGGGCAACTTTGTGCAAAGGCAAGCTATTTGTTTTGTATAAGCAACATCATATATGCAGGGTCCAGGCCCGCAGGGTCTAGTGGGTATTCTTTTGTGCGCAAAAATGATAAATCACAGGAAAGAAAGACACAGGACACAGAGATAAGAGAAGGATTCAGCTGGACCCAGGGAACCACTACTACCAAGACGCAGAGTCCTATAGTGGCATGAATGCCTGGATGTGCTGATATTTATTGTATACAAGGCAGCAGGGCAGGGCCAGGAGATTGACTCATCTGACATGATTGGTAGGGGTCAAGCAAATCACATACTTCCAATACTGGGGGCCACGTGGGTACAGTACAAGGGGTCACACAGATATAGCACAGAGGATAACGTGGGTATAGCCCAGGGTCCCCTCCCTATCAAGTAGCCGCTGCAAGGAGGGGAGGCATATAGAGTCAGTATCTTTATACGCACCTACCTGAAAGATCAAAGGCTTTTAGGATTCCTCTATTCTTACTTCTCATGACTTCTAAGAACTTAATAGGAGCACTGGGTGGGAAAGTGGACAAGGAGAGTGACCATCAGAGCACAGCACTATGAAGAGGCATTTAAGCCCCTGGATGTCTGCGGGCCAGACTGGCTAATGTCAGGCCTTTCACAAGAGCCGGTCAGAGCAGGATTTTCTCTGAACACCCCCAGTGAAAGGGAAACTCCCCTTCACGGCCTGCTAAATAACAGGCGCCTTCCCAGGCTCTGGTGCTACCGCGAGGGCTTTTACTCTCACCTTCTGATCACTTCTCACAATGTCCCTTCAGTTCCTAATTATACTTCACCCGATTATGTCTATACTATAAGACTAAGATGTTCCTACACTGTAATATTCAAGCAAAGACTAATAATAGAGAATAGTGATATAAGATTGATTATATAATTGATTATGTGATTGTATGTCAATCTATGTGGTGACAATGCCATAACTAATCAGTGGACATATAACTAAGTAATCAGTAAATATATGATTACTGTAACTAAGTAATCAGTAGACATAACTAGGTAATCAGTAAATGTATTTTGTATCATTGCTATATCTAAGTAATCAGTTATTTATTATGCTGGGACAAACTGTGCCTTCTGTCTCTTGCCTTGGCACCTGCGCAACTTTCTTCCCACACATTTATACAAACCCTCATGCAATAGGAGCCTCAATTGTATTTGCTTTAAGAAAGGGGAAACCGTAGGAGAGGCATGGACCTCAGGACTCAGGAGAAAGGATGGACATTGGAATCAGTAACAACGTAGAAGTCCCGAGATGCAACAAAATCATGGAGGATGTGGTCTGAGATGCAAATGTTGGGCCTGTTAGCCTCAGCAAAGACGAAGGCTTCAGTGAAGCTGAGGACGGCCTACACGCAAACATTGGGCCTGTTAGCCTCGGCAAAGACGAAGGCTTCAGTGAAGCTGAGGACGGCCTACACGCAAACGTTGGGCCTGTTAGCCTCGGCAAAGACGAAGGCTTCAGTGAAGCTGAGGACGGCCTACACGCAAACGTTGGGCCTGTTAGCCTCGGCAAAGACGAAGGCTTCAGTGAAGCTGAGGACGGCCTACACGCAAACGTTGGGCCTGTTAGCCTCGGCAAAGACGAAGGCTTCAGTGAAGCTGAGGACGGCCTACACGCAAACGTTGGGCCTGTTAGCCTCGGCAAAGACGAAGGCTTCAGTGAAGCTGAGGACGGCCTACACAATTTGTGGGAACCCCCTGTAGCTCTTAGACTTTGATCACAAATTCCAAAAGCTTTGTGCTTAGTACTCTGCCCACGACACTGGCCACAGCAGTTGCTTGCTCTATAAAGCCTAGCCACACAGACTAGACTACAACTGGCCTCAGCAGACAGGTGTGTCAAGCTGCTACAAGTTGATCTTGAGCTATGACTCAACTTTACCCAAATAGCTTTAGCCCAGGCAAACATTCCGGCAAAAGATGAAAAGTCTCCTAGGCCCCTTAGACATTCAAGGATAGAGTAATATTCTCTGCTTTCAAATTTTCGGTGCATGAGTTGCCCATGAACTGTACAGAAGTACTGGAGCCTTAGTTTCAAATTGTTATTTCAAAAGTAGGCAGGTAGGGTTAGGTCAGGTGCTCCCAATGCCAGTCTTCTTTCAGGGACAGGAGCTAACTTTCGAATCACAGACACACTTCTCCATAGGTAGATTTATGCTGAAGCTAAGAAAACACAGGCCTCTCTGAGAGTTTTCATCGATGTGTTTATAAGGTCATATATTCTGTAAAATTGGCAAAAGTAAGATATCGTAGCCACGTTGGTTGTGACAAGTGCTTATTTGGACTTCATCTTCCCCTTCAT